ATTTTAAATAAATTTAACTAAAAGAGAAAGAATATATGTATATGTATATGTATATAGAATATAGAATATTTCTTCTTGATAAATATATATATATATATATATATATATGGAGAGGCAGCCACCAGGGAATGGAGGTTGGAAATTCGAGAGGGTGTGGTCGACAAATCAAGCGGTAGCAGTCATCTCTTGTCTTTTGTATCTTATCAGCTTTTTTTTTGTTTTTTTGGGCTTTTGCGGGGCCCTCACCACCCGGCCAACTACTTACCTCTCACGGACGCTACACTATTCTCTTTTCCTTTTTTATTTAAATAAATAAATAAAATATTTTTATTTTATTTTATTTTTTAAAAATATTTTCTCTGTCTGAAAATCTTGAATGTAATTATGTCATAATCATTTTTATCTTCATCAATCAATTACTGGCTGTAAAGGTTACTCACTTTTCTACCTCGCTTATTCACTCTTTCTTTTATATATATATATATATATATATAATTTTATTATTTATGTAATTTCAAGATACTAAATTAATTTATTTTAAATGCAATTTAATACTAAGGGTGGTGATGTTAATAATACTTGGCTTTGACATTTATGTTAAAATTACATTATATTTTCTAATTTAAAATTACATTTACGTAACATCTATTTATTTCTTTATTTTAATAATATTTTCTTTATTTAATTTTTTTTTAAAAAAATAATAAAATGCCGACATAACTCGTTAATAAAACTGAGTATTATGATAATTTAATTTATATATTTGTACAATTAAATGTATAAAATGCATTTTGAATCAAATGTAAAAGTGAAAGTATATTCTTTATATTATACATCCCTAAATGTAATTGAATGATTATTTTATATTATATATTCTTAAATGTAATCAAATGTACTCTTTAATCTAATGAAAACTTAATATGTCAAACTAGCTTGTGATCATTATCTCCCTCAATTGCTCTTTGTCTCCTTAAAATCATTTGTCTTTGTCTCCCACAACCATTCTTTCAAAGGTAAATATATATATACATATATATTGATTAGAGATTAAAAAAAATATCAAACTTGAGGAAACTAAAGAAAAAAATAAGACAAAATGTTTAAAGAAAAATTATAATAAGATAAAACTCAGGCACCAAATTAAGAAGCATTCCGTAGTTATTAAAACCCGTAAATCTAACCCCATAGTCATAATCTCCTTAAACCTATCTATCTCTCGGTCTTTAATATTTATCTTGATCCACACACAGTTCGGAATGCGTAGGAAAATGTCTTTTATCTTCATCTTCTAACCTAATTTGCCTCTTAATATCTATTGATCATAACAATCATTTGGTTGAACTTGTATGCTATTTAACTTAATAAAGAAAACGAGCCAATGTGTCTTCTCTGTGGTTCAATGTGGTATCTCATAATCAACATCTTCATAATTTACTAATCTAACTTCTTTTTGAGTACTAAATTAAGAAATTACATACCTAACGTTAGATTATAGTACTATATTATTCAAATATATGATCTTATTTTATCTTAGACAAATTATAATAGGTAACTATTGAGGTATATTGGAACGAAGATGATTTTTCAAAGATTTATAAAGAAATAAGAAATTGGAGAAGCACATCTTAAGATTTTTCTAGTGAAATGATTCTAATACTCAAATTAGTAAGAAAAAATAAAGCAAGCGAAATGTAAAAAAATATAAGGTTTTGTATTAATGAATGTCAGACCTATTATAGATATTTGGTTTTATTAAAAATATTTGCATATGTTGTATCATCTAAATGGATAATTTGACATAGTTTTCAATTAATATAATAGATTATCATAATAAAGAAGTTCCAACGAACTTTACCATTGAAGTAAGAAGTATTATATTTTAACCACTAATGAATTATCTTTATAAAAGAAAGTGACTATGCATTGACTTAACTACATTAACAATGAGTGACTTTTTTGAAAAATCATATTTGAAGTCAGTGTTTTTAGTATGCAGCTATGGTAATTTACGAGTCGTGAAAGTATTTATTTACTTATTCGCTGAATAATTATAAAATATAAATAATACGTATAACAACTCATTATTAATATAAAATATTGTTATATTGTACGCACTCACTCGTAAATAATTTTTTTTAATTAATTATATCTCTCTGAAAAAAATATCAAACGTTGTTCTTAATCTTTTACATGTTTAAGACCTTTTTCTTCCCTTTTGTTGACTAATACATAGAAAGAATAATGAGATAATACATAAATAATTCATATTGTGAACCTTGCTTTGACATGACCCTTTGCAACACTATGTGCACATATTTTCCAACTAGTACATCAATTGGGTGAAAATTACATGTACCCTTTTCAAAATATATACATGTATAACGAAAAAAACATATTTAATTAAATTATTATTAATTTTGTATATAGATGGTGGTCCATTTGAGTCTATAGCAGACTGACTTGGAGATGAGAAGCCGTGTAAGATAAGGAGGGAGAGAGAGAGAGAGAGAAAATATTCTCTACAGCTAGCTTTCTTTTTGGTGTTTTCCTCTTAGTTTTTAAGCAAGTGAACAAAGCTATTACCAAAACCAGTCCAATTTCTTGATCTGCAGCTCACACCAACCTCTCAATTCTTCTTATTTTCTTCAGTTTAATTTCATTGGATTATTATGTTTTTTTTTTGCACCAAATCTTTTGTTCTTTCTTGATTTTTAGTAGGTAGGAAAATTTGTCTCTCTGTTGTTTCTTCTTCTTGTTTTTGCTAGCTACCAATTCAGAACCCGCCATTTTTATACTTACAGAAGCTCAAACATGATGCATCAAAACCATGTCCATGGCCTTTCTGTTTCCTCCACCGTTAAAGGGTTTGTTCCTCCTCCTCCTCATCGTCACCAACAAACAGCTACCTCCAACCCTAACCCTAATCCAAACCCTAATAATAATCCTTCTGCAAATCCGGCTGCCAACAAGAAGAAGAGAAACCTCCCGGGAACCCCAGGTAACATACGTATGTGTATATATATATAGTGTCTTAATTTGATTTTTAACATTTTGACGAATTCTTTTGGGCATTGTTCATCTGGGTGATGGCAGATCCAGATGCAGAAGTGATTGCTTTATCTCCGAAATCTTTGATGGCGACGAACAGATTCATCTGCGAAATCTGCAACAAGGGTTTCCAAAGGGACCAGAACTTGCAGCTGCACAGGAGAGGGCACAACCTGCCATGGAAGCTGAGACAAAGAACGAACAAAGAAGTAGTGAGGAAGAAGGTGTATATATGCCCGGAGAAGAGCTGTGTACACCATGACCCCTCCAGAGCTCTGGGTGACCTAACGGGAATTAAGAAACATTTATAGCAGAAAACATGGCGAGAAGAAATGGAAGTGTGAGAAATGTTCCAAAGAAGTACGCTGTTCAGTCCGATTGGAAAGCTCATACTAATATCTGTGGCACTAGAGAGTATA